GGGAGCCGCAGGCCACAGCGAGGTTGGGGGGTGGGGCCAGCCGGCGCTGCCAGTCGCCGTAGTGCGGCCTACGATTGGTTGGCGCCGGCTAGTGGGCGGGACCTCGAGTGGGGGCGGGAAGCAGGTCCGCAGCCGAGCTCCCAGGTGCTGACCCCCTGGGAGCCGCGAGGGGGAGGGTAGGTAGCGAGCGGAAGCGCCCGAGCCCGCCGGGGGTCGCGGAAATGCGAACTGGGAGTTAAAGGGCGGGCCGGCTGCCGCCCGCCATGTTTGATCCTGGCAGGCGCGGCAGGCGCTGGTGGGAATACCTTCCTCCTGCCCGAACTCGTAAGCCACGTGCCGACCTTTTGCTTTTTATTGGCCGATCAGAAAATGTTGAAGTACTTGGAGTTTCTGCCCCGAGGACACAGACGTCCGAGACATATTTTTTTATTTTTTCAGAGCACTCGTGTATGCAGAGGAGAACAGGTTGCTAAATAGGAAACAATTATGGGAATGATTCCAGACGGGCTATGATCAAGCTCTGAACTGTAAGGCGCAAGAATGGAAGTGTAAAAGTTCACAGGCGGAAGGCGTGGCCGTGGCCGCGCGGGACTCGGGGGGCGGCCGCCGCTGGGGCAGAGTCCCCCACCCGCGGGGCGAACCGAGTCACCTCATGGCCGTGAGCAGCTTGAACTCGGGTTATTTCTTATTTTTTTATTTTTATTTTTTGCACAGAGCAAATGGTGTCCACATGGAGTCGATCCCAGGGTGGGAAACCATTTGCTCGGCTTGGGCGTCAGACCAGTTGCTGGGACCAAGGTCCAGGAAAGAGGGCCGGCGGGGAAAGCTCGCAGGCACCCCGAGCTCTGCTGTCCCCCAAACGGGCAGGCCACGGTTTCCTCGCTGTGCTTCCGCACCGGGATTGATTCGCTGAGCTCCCCCCTTTTCCTGTTCCCTTTTCCTCTCTCTCTCTCTCCTATACCTGTTTTCTCGTCACCTAAGCTGAACTTGCCCTCCTCACCTGCCCCGCTTCCTTGACCCTTTCATCTGCCGGTGGCGTCATGAGCAACCACCCACTAAGCCCGGCCAGCAGCCTGCAAGGCGCCCGGGGCAGGCCCAGCCCGCCCACAGCCTCCCAGGCCCAGGCCGCCCCGAGGGCTTCCCTCTGCTGATTGCCTCCTAAACCTTCTTCACCCTGCTCGCTCCCCTCCGTCCCCACAGCCGCTTTCCTGAGTCGGACTCTCCTTGCTCCCCAGAACTGTTGCTGTAGCTGCCTAATTCATTTCTCTGCCCTTTGACCTCCACGGCCTCAGGCTCCTTGGGGCTGCTGCGATCTGAATGCAAATCTGTGCGTGTCCCCAAGTGTCCCCGTCCAGGATTAGGTGGAGGCCACACTCCTTAACCTAGAGCACACCCAGCAGGATCTGGCCACGGCCTCACCTGCCCTCTTTCTACATCTCTCCCTCCCCGCCTCTCCCTTCCTCTCCCTTTTGATCAGCCAGGTAAGCCGCTTGCAGTTCCCCAACCCCTATGCTTTTTCGAGCCACTCAGCTCTCACGTCATTCCCTCTGCTTGGAACACGACCCGGTTAACCGGACTCATCTTCAAAACAGCTCAGGACTGACTTCCTCCAGGAAATATTTCCACATCTCATCCCCGCCTCCTAGGCCAGTATTTCTCAAATGTTAATGTGCATATGATTCAGATAGGGATCTCGTTAAAGCTCAGACTCACATCCAGTCAGTCTGGGCTGGAGCCAGAGAGTCTGCATTTCTCACAAGTTTCCAGGAGATGCTGCTGCTGGTATCCAACCACACTTGCAGTAGCAAGGCCCTGGGCTCTATTTAAAGCCCTCCTCTGAGCTCCCTGGGCTAACCTCCGTCATAACACCATCTCCTCTGCATTAAATACTCCGCTTGCCTTTACAGGCCTCCAAACTAAAAGCTCTTTGAGATTAGAACCAAGTCCTTTTATCCCACGTGCCAAGCGCATAGGTAAAACTGAGCTTTTCCTGACATTTTTAACTTTTATCTTCCTGTTATCTCCCCCGCCCCCCTCCCCAACTTACCTTCTGGCAAAAAGGAATGAATTTGTAACCTGAGATCTTTCCGTATTGGCCTGGCTGGAAGGGAATAAACATCGGGTCACTTTGTATTTGTGCGCGACACACACACACACACACACACACACACACCCCTTTCTTCCCTGAAAGAGAAAACTACCACACACAACCTGAGAGCCAGAATATACAGGTCACCTCTTGCCTTCCTTCCTGTTTTCCACACAGGAAAGGTTTTCTACACAGGCAGGTGGCCATACCGCAGAGACACCTCACAATACCTGAGTCCATCAAGCTGTCCCCTAGTTCATGTCCTAAACAGATATTAATTGAGCACCAACTATGTGCCAAACATGGTTTTCTTCATTGTTATCTCTTTCCCACCCACCCC